TTGGACGAAATATGCTGTCTACAGCTCACTTTAAAACGCTGCGCTAGTTTGAACACGCAAGCGCGCAGAGCGTAAGACAAGGTGTCTGTGCGTTAGGGTTAGGGCTAGGGTTAGGGGTACCGCCACAGAAAATAACATATTGCTCTGTTTCATGTCATAATACACAGTACAAAAAGTCTCTCGAGTGAATGTCATACTTTTTGGACGAAATATGCTGTCTACAGCTCACTTTAAAACGCTGCGCTAGTTTGAACACGCAAGCGCGCAGAGCGTAAGACAAAGTGTCTGTGCGTTAGGGTTAGGGCTAGGGTTAGGGGTACCGCCACAGAAAATAACAGATTTCTCTGTTTCATGGGATAACAAACAGTACAAAAAGTCTCTCGTGTGAATGTCATACTTTTTGGACGAAATATGCTGTATATAGCTCACTTTAAAACGCTGCGCTAGTTTGAACACGCAAGCGCGCAAAGCGTAAGACAGGGTGTCTGAGTGAGCGTTAGAGTTAGGCCACAGAAAATGTACGTAAACGATCTTGCAACCATGTTAAACTTAAACTCACGATCATGTGACCCTCCTTTCTTAAAAGACACATCTATTAGTAGCTTATATTGGGCCGACGATCTTGTCCTCTTATCTGAGTCAGGGCTAAAGGAATGCTTAGGAACACTTTCTTTCCATAATGTTTTTGGATCCTCCTTGGATAATTTGGAAATATGCTTAATTTTCTCGGTATAGTGTTTCTTTGTTTTCTTGATTAGTCTTTTGTATTCTTTGATTTAACAAATGTATGTCTGTCTTTTATCTTGTCTCCAAGGGCATTTCCTTATTTCAGCGGCAAGAGTTCTAATTTTTGATCTCATACTAGTATCACATTGTTGGTCATACCATGGTTTACTAGCGTTTTTTTTTGCGATTTGAGAATTGTATGGTTTTCAATGACAAGTCAGCTGTCGTCTTTATAATGTGATTAAATTCTTCGAGGACTTTTTCAGGTTGTTTGTTTGTGTAAGTTTCTGACATAAATAGAATTTGAGTGTAACCACTCAAAAGGAAGTGGTGATGCCATTGTAAGCTACTTTCTGGTTGGATTGTTAGATCATTTATGTCAAGCTATCTCCCCAATATAATGCTCAAACTAAAAAAGAACTACACTATTAAGTACATCAGCAAATTACAAAAGAAATGTTGTTTTCAACTTTATTTCTGTGTAAAGTGAAAAGAAATGCATTTAATTCTGAAGTAAACTGATATGCATTATAAACACACAATATATGTCTCTTGGCTTCAAGAGGGTGTGCACTGCAGATAACCCTTCTAACCTAAGCAACACCTAAACTGCAGATAACCCTTCTAACCTAAGCAACACCTAAACTGCAGATAACCCTTCTAATCTAAGCAACACCTAAACTGCAGATAACCCTTCTAATCTAAGCAACACCTAAACTGTAGATAACCCTTCTAATCTAAGCAACACCTAAACTGCAGATAAACTTATGAGCGTCAAAACTTGAAAACAATGTATTTCTTTTTTTCCAAGGCGGATTCGCGGCTTCAGTTTTGACCTTTACGCCGACGTAAGCCGACCGCTATATGTGCATGTTTTTATTTATGTTGTACCCTATAATCTATTTTGTTTTCTGTTTCTTGTTCAAGTATGTTTGTTTGGGATCGTCCAGTTCAGGAAGAGACAATATTAAAGTCTGTCTGCCGGGGGTGACAGAAACCCCATGCCTATAACTATTGATCAATATAGGGTAGTGATAGGCATGTTTGCAGCTAATCTTAAAATTTGTTTATTGAAAAGATGCCAACTTTGTCTACATATTGACAGTTACTTATTGTTACTTCCATTTTTTGTATTACTTGCACTTAATCTCATTGCGGGCGACATTCATCCAAACCCGGGTCCGACTCCCAGGCCTAATTCATCAAAACTTCTAAATTTCGTGCACATCAACTTTAATAGTCTGGTTGCCGGATCCAAGATGGATGAATTGTCGTCTCTGGTAATTGAACACAATCTTGATGTTATTGCTATTACTGAGTCTTGGCTAGGAGATAGTGTCGACTCAAATGATACATGTATATTGCTTGAAGGTTTCCAATCTCCTATTCGCCGTGACAGAAATAGACATGGTGGAGGAGTTGTGGTATACGTTTCAGATCAGATCGCGTTCAAAAGGCGTGTAGATCTAGAACCTTCTTCTATTGAATGTATTTGGCTGGAACTTTGTGCTGGTCAGACTAAAATCCTATTTTCTGTTTATTATTGACCACCTGGACAAGATTTGCTTACAATTAATAACTTTATTGATTCTTTATGTGACTCGGTCTTCTCAGCTGGGGGCATTCAGCATGATGCACTTATTGTCACAGGTGATTTTAACGCTAAACATCAGGAATGGTGGCCCCTTGACCCAATTACTTCCGTCGGTGCTAAACTATTTCAAACTACACAAATGTTAAACTTAACTCAGGTGATTAAGGAACCAACATGTGATCTTTCTTTTTCACCTTCTCTGATTGATTTGTTTTTTACCGCTACTGATATTGTGTCTTCTACTTCTGTTTTATCACCACTGTCTGGGTGCCATCTGGTTTCTATGAAAAGTAATGCTGAATGACAATGTTCAGCTCTAGGTTTGCAGAGATCTGCTCCTGGTCCAACACCTCAGCCTTCAACGCAGCACTCCACCCCTTCACCTCTCCAGCTTTAAGGTTGAGCTTCCCTTCCAGGCTGCGTGTCACTGTCCCATATGTTACCTTCATCCTGTCAGAGTGAAAAGGCATCAGAGTTAACGAGATCATCAAAAACTTACTAAGACATGCAACCTAAGACAACAACTATAATCCTTGAAAGCATCCTTTAAGGCAGAGGGGAGGAACGGAGCAGAGGCAAAGAATTCACGGATGGATTCCAGGCTACAGAAAAATGGCTTATGTGATTGGTTTAATTATTATCCGATTTCCAATAATTCTAGGAATAGAAGTTTAGCATACATAAAAAATTCTATTGCCCATTATTAACTTACCTCACATTGACAAGGGTGGGATGTCCAGAACATAGCTGGATGTACAGGCCAATGTTGTCCCTGGCATCCCTGTCAGGTGGCAACAGCATGACTCTAAACTCGTGCTGGCCTGTGCAGAAAGGACTGCTCTTCACCATCCTGGTGATGTCCTCCACCACATACTTGAAGGAATGGATAGGCCCATTGAAGTGTCTCTGATGTGTCCCAGACTGAAGAAAATTTAAAAAAAAAGATGTTTTGTGGCTGATAGCTAATATTTACATGTCATTTTTGTCAACATACAATAATGAGGCCTTTTTGTTTAGTTAACTGGCTAAAATGAAAGATATACATTACAAAAAAAACTGTCAAATGGAACAATTTTTGAATCACTTGTTGGGCAATTTTTTGTACCAAAAAAAAGAGGGAAAATGTGAAAATGGAAAACGCACACTAGTCCTGGAATAGCTGTATGAAACTATACTCTTACAACTGCATGCTCATGGCCAAATCAACACACAATGAACATACTTGCATAAGTAGAAAGGTGTGGTATTCCCCATCTTCTCTGTTGTGACGATGGACGTCCTGCACCAACATGCCGCAGCCTGGGATGGGGCAAACCGTGACACGATTTGTGCAGTCATGCACAACGTGATGCAGGAAATCCTTCCTGTAAGAAATGATGATAATATAAGGTTTTATGTTTGTTTCACATAACTGGTAAACCACCTTTTTTATGCGTAATACACCAATCTTGTACATGTATGTACCAGTCTTTTACATGTAAGACCAGACTGTATTGGGTTTTAAACACTCACACCAGGAAGGACCCCTATCTACTCTTTTGATAAGTGTGGTGGGTTCTTAAATGTGCGTGGGGTGTGGCTCTCCCCAAACACAAAGCTAGGTATTCTGTGGAGAAGAGACTTGCAGAGATTCCCATTTGATGTACAATAGTTGGACCTGAATCCCAAACATAAAAATATCAGCAAACTATTCATAAATTTTTTCTAGGTATATGCATGGTATAGACATAGTGTATACATAGAAGTTGAGTATTCATAGTTGAAGTATTCAACTCGCCTCAAAATCACTTCCTGGCACTGAAGCGGGCAGGGCATCTCTTTCATGATGCAGACATAGACAACATGATGACGCATGTTATCTCTCTGCACCCAGAGGAGACAGTCCTCACAGGGTTGCTCCATCTTGGGGCAAACACCCAGGTGTGGCAGATGCTGGTGCCGCTCCAATATCATTTCACAGTGTTCACAGGTTACCTGAGATATGCAAGATGATTACAACACATAAAAACATTGTTGAAGTTTGAAGACATTTTTTGTGAGTGGCAGCTCTATTTGTTTTAAATACATAATTGGGTATTTGGTATCAGTTGCCCAGTTTGGTAATATAAACAGTGGACTGGACGAGCACCTGGACCTAATTAACATTTCTAATGATCTGTCATAGAGACAGCAATTCGAACATACTGTACTTTACTACAAGTGAGTATCACTTGTAATAGATGACTAAAGCAGGATCAACCTATCCAAATTAGTCTACTAAAGTATCTCCAGACTGCAGTCAGATGGTAGATATTTGATACGGCATGAATTGACTCAACAAACATAGCTGGGATGACAATGCTAAAGGCAGAATAATAATTTTAAATCAAAGTTAAAAGTCTAACCTTCTTAAATGAACAACGGCGCTCGTGGTGGGCCAGGTTTCCATAGGGACCTCGCCAGTCACATTTTACACCATCTACAACTTCAGAAAAAAAGACAGTGACTTGATTAGAAAACAGAGAGCATCATATCTCTGGATCCAATCTTTTACATTGCCTAGCACATACAAGTCAGAAGTAGTTGTCGCACAAAAAAGAGGTGACAAAGGCTGTCACCTATACCCACCCTCTTATACTAGCAACAGTGGACCAAGAATGCAAAAGAAAAGGGACAGTACAATAATAATCATTGCCATACTTAAGTTGTAAAAATCAAATTTGTACTAAGATACTAAACCAATCATGAACAAACCTGACAAGAAGGGGTCACACATGTTGATTAGAGCATTAAGATTGATTATTATTGGTCTATCAATAATGGGGCTTTCTAGATAAGAGCAGAATGATAAATGATTACCTCCATTGGAACACTTGGCCACCAATTTCATCACCTTCCTGTTAGCACTGTGGTCTGTGCCAACATCAGTGAATCTCATGGGTGTCCTGCACAAAGGACAGTTTGCTGCTCTGGTCCTGATCCACTCGCGAATGCAAGCTCTGCAGAACTGGTGGCTATTGCAGTGTGTGCCATACACAGGATCCAACAGGACATTCATACTGGATTGTGACAAAAAATAATGCATTACTATTTAAATACAAACATTAACATGCTTTCTTCTATCTGACCAATGAGATTATGGCTACAGCAGATGCTGTATACTGTAAACCACTTTCATGGTAGCAATGGGTCACTGTCTGACTCCCTGAGAAAATTGGAGGTGACACTGTGTTCGCAGAACTATAAGAGCAGATGTTACAATGCCCCAAAATGGGAACATCATTGTAGTCACTCAGGTGAATATCTTTAATAAAACTCTCCTTTTTTTCTCTTGAAAATTTTGGTCCAGTTTGGAGATTTTTGGGCTAGACCGAACATGTAGGGTCTAAACCTGACTTTGGTTTGGTGGTCGTAATGAGAGACCTGAGTGATGTGGTCTTGCCTGCCCAGGGCAGACATGAATAAATTAGGTCAAAAGTAGGGTTTGTTCACTGTTGTCTGGACTCTGCTGTTGTCAGAGTTTGAGCTGGTCAACCTCCTGTTTTCTTTCTGTATTTGGGACTAAAAGAGCTGAAATAAAAAACTGAAAGTGCTAGAAAAACTAAACTAAAAAAGAATTTAGTCAGTTATTTTCTCATTGTAGTATTCTAGTATTTGCAAAGAACAGTGAAACAGGATGTAAAACAGCTAATCTGCACAATAAAAGGTAATTGTCTGGACTATGACACCACTTACCATATACAGCACTTCAGCTCTTCAATCTCACTTGTCTGAGACTCAACAAAGACGTCCAGTTCAATGCCAAACTGAGACATCTGCAAAACAAAATTGTGTGAAGGTTTATATTCAATTTTATTTGTTTATTAACTACATATCTACACAGTGCTAGCTTAAACCATTACTTATGCCTATAATTTATAAAAGTAGTCACTAAACATGTCACTACACATGTGCGGAAACACACACACAAAAACAATACCTCCATTTGCCAACAACAAGTGAGGGCCTGCAAAGGGGGGGGGAGGTAGTGATTTCGCAAAATTTTCGCCGCCTATTAGTACAGTATTACGAATTACGTCAGAGCTGACTACGACTTAACGATTTGAGGCTATTGTCTTACTATGAATTACGTTGATTTTTGCGGAGGCTGCCTACGAATTACGAAGTCTATAAAACGGCCTGATTATACTAGTACGCCTTACGAACTAATGAAAGGGCTTGCAGGCCCTCGCAAGTCTCTGATACTACTACAACAGTAACATCAAACCTCGATTAAACGTTATAAAATACTAACCTGTGATTAGTCCGTTGATTCCCGTCGAGAAGTTGAAATAACTCTTGTCGAATCGATGAAGGATTAGGATGACCTTGGATCTCTGTCTGTACCAAATTATGAACTGCTCTGTCAGCAAGAAAGTTTTGCAAGTGATATGTCACGTGATATATTATCAGGGCAATACCAAGTTACTACAAGGGGTGAGCACGGTTGATGTTCTGTAACTCTACAACTGTAAAATTGACCACAAGACATAGAACTGTTGTGACAGATATTTATACCTAACAATATTGTAATCCAGAAATTATCTATTGAAAATGATCAAGGGGTTCAACCACCATGGAAGAGTGTTTCAGACATAATTTGCTACCCCTCGCCCCTGAGTTTAATAGTCTCGTCCAAAGACGAGCCTTTCAGCCAGGCCTGCCTTTCCGAGGCCAAGACGCGACGCGACCACTCATCCATCAACCGTGTTCCTTGAATTCCTCGCCGTCTTTCTTCCTGGGTCGACATAAGTTCTGCCACTGACGACACCAAAAGCCAAGGTCAGTATTTGTTTATTTTGAAAGTCAAATACTTTGCTGCAATGGAGTTAAACATAGCCAGAGTGGTCGGAAGTTTGATAATTTACCACTTGTTGTGTAAAAATAATAATTTATATTTGAAAAATCCACCAGTCTAGAGTATCTGTACCCAAGGTATAATGTTCTTACTGTACCCAGTGAGGTCCCGTTATATACAAGCCAAATTCCTAGATTTTACTATAAATTTTAGCGACGCAGTGTGGTGATAGAGATCAAAGCGCGTGTGGGTTTGAAAGAGATCAAAGAGGCGACGAAAGGCGCGAAAAATCGTGGACAGTGGGCCGAGGCAAGCAAGCAGGGAATTTCGATCCGCGATATTTTAGAAATCCTTCAGTTGAAACAACGACACTTATTCGAGAACTTGATCTCAAAAATACGCCACAACACGACCAGTGGGAACAGGGCCAAAGAGATTAAGGTCGGGAGCTGTAATTTCACCAGACATTTTTGTTCGGCAAAACAATAGCAAGGTGTTGGTGGCGCCAGTAGTGTAACTTGACTTTTCACACTCCACCGTGACTTGAAGGCTGTGAAAGGCCCAGGCGGACCCCAGCAACGAATGAAATACCTTTATTTACATTTGTACAATAAACAGGGGAAAATACGGCAATGACACTTACATACTAATGTCATCTACTATTTAGAGGATGATAGATAAAAGAACAATTAAACAGGGTACAAATACTACAATATTACTTCAAAATCTAAATAAAAATAGTGATTGTCTGAGACTATCGCTATGTCTAAAACTATATCTGAAGGGTTTGACTTTGACTATTCTCTTTTCAAGCATGACTGCGATATCGATCCACGCAAAGTGACTTTAGTATTTATATAAACTTCGTTATAGAGTTTTAGACTACCTTCGAAGACTTGAGCATATATACTTTTTTTCACCAAACGACACAGATGAATGCTGGCAGCACACGACGTGGACGAGTTAGCAAGAGAGAGGTGTACCTGCTTGAGCCAGGGACAACAAGTATTCCCAGAGGGGACGCGCGGGCTGCCTTGTGGGCAAATGGACATGCCCAAGAAGTGGAGATCACAAGAACAGATAACTCAGCCCAGCTGCTGGACACCATTCACAACAAGTATGCCAGCGCCAGGATAGATCTGAGGTGAGGTTAAGGCGCAGTACAGTTTACACGAACAGATTGATAATAAACTGACATTTGAATTAGTAGTTAAACAGCCACTCCATTTTTACCTTGACCATTAGGTCCTAGGGTATTGTTTGTTTGTGTGTGCGTGCATGTGTGTGTGTTGGCCTTTTTCTTTCACAGAAAATACTGCCCTGTGTCACACCCATGTCAAATCTAGCAACATCCATTCTTTTTTGGTTCATATGAACACTAAAATGGACTATTTCTGTGCACGACTTGGGGGGGGGGGCGTTTTGGTAGACAGCTTTTAATTGACAACACATACAATGGCAGAAACCTTCAAATCTGATTATCATTAGTCCAGCATTTTCAATGAACCTACATCACCTTTGCAGTGACCTAAGCTTTCCATGCAATTTCTGACCACTTTCAAGCACCCATTATACACACTGCTCATAGGTAAATAGTGTGTATAATGCTAACATCACACTTTTGCTGGAAAACAATGTACCAGCACCCCCAAAATCACCAAGCAAAATGTACTGGTAGATAATATTTGAACATGATTTTGCCAAACCTAACCCAGATATGGAGCTTAGGACTGGGTATTATTAAGCTTATCTTCATTGACACAGACAGTATTATAAACTTTCTATTTATAACAATGAATGTAATGTGTATGATAGTTGTGTAAACATGTACTAGATTTCCTTAACATAAGCTGTTTGTTCACAACTTGTCAGGAGCATGCCATGGCAGTACATGTCGATCGTGGGACACAACACCCTTGTCCCATACCTGAACACTGTAAATGGGACCCGACTATTGAACACACTATGCAAAAGGCAGAGTCGATGCTTCTACATCAGAAAGAGGGAAGCAAGTGATGATGACGAAGAGCCCGGTCCCCAGGAACCAGCAGACCTACCTGGGCAGGTGATATAAAACGCAGCTAATACACATTAGTTGTACTTCCTTTTAATTCAAACAGAAACCCTCCATTAGATTATTATCTGACATGTCTACCTATTCTGAGAATATTGTGATGCAACAATAACTTGGTGCACACACAAGGCATTGTTCATGATAATTGATTATCCAAGTGAATGAAACACATGGCTAAAATGTTCATACAGTTACAATTGATGGAATAGGATAATGCCCTAGAAAAATGAACAGAAACAGAAAAAAATGCAATTTTTTTAAACATCTGTGTACATAATATCACCAGGGTACATAATATCACCACCTTGAGAAACAGTGTGCTTAAAGATATTTTTACTGCAACATACTTTTGGTATGCACTCCTACATACCTCAAATGTAGGACCATGTAGTAAAAATCTCTTCAAAATTTAGATAGTACTACTACTTCTCAAGGTGGTGATATTATGTACCCTGGTGATATTATGTACACAGATGTACTCTCATGAAGGACTAATATAGCAACTATGACTGTGATACTATAGATTGTGCTGTTGTTCAGGATTAGACATTGAATCCTTCTTACCATAGAATACCAGTGTCAGCATAATGTTGTGAAAGACTTAAGAGAAGAGAAGAACAGACGACTGGCAAATCAAGAGATGACACGTATGTGATATATGATAACATAATGTATATTATCATGTTTTTCAGGGACCTGACATCAACAATCAGAATGGCAATGACATAGTAATAATCGATGACGAGCCGGCATGTGAGTGTTGACTTCATGACATTTCCTTTCGTTTCAAATTGGGCATTACTAATCTCTTATGCTATGTAGATGACATCGCTCTGCTCGATAATTTAACTACACGTAGTTAAAGTTAAGAAACAAAAAATATCACCCCACTGAAACTGTTGTTTAACTGTTGTGCAGCAGAATTTAGCCCTGCTTGATGGACTTGTCTTTAACTTATTATATTTCCATAGCAGAACTTGATGATGTTTGTATGCATGATGTCAGCTAGCACATTGTAAACTATTGAACTTCAATATTTGTATCATATAAACCTCTAGTTGAAAACCAAAGAACTGAAATAATGTTGTGAATTTAAATAATATTTCTGCCTATATTTGATGGCCAAATTATTCCATAAATCATCTTTGAACAGATCAAATTTTATTGATTGTACTGCAGTACTTGATGCACAAGATGTGGCAGATGAGTCACCCAATGAGTCACCGGAGACGATAGAGGGGAGTGTGTTTGAAGGTAAAGAAAGTATCTGTCACATTACACTGGTTCAGGATGTTCACTTTATGTATTTCAGATGTTCTTAAGTGTTAATGAAGGGCAACCATATCATTGCCTGCCAGTGAAACTACTTTAATTGTTTTCTTGTTTTAGTATTGATGTCTACTGAACATGCACAACATTCTTTAATGGGATTGAGGCTGTTGTCATCTATTAAATAAAAGTTACAGTCATAAAGTTGTCTGTGTACAAAATTGTCTTGGATGAAACACAATCTTTAAATCAACAAAGCATTTATAGAACAAGAAAACTGACTGTCTCCCTTTAAAACAGATGCTGTAGAGTTCGGCACACTTGACAGCTTGACCCCTCCCCTGGACATGCTTGAAGGTACGTATATCAGATCCGTGAGATTAACATTAAAACAGCATTCTTAAGGTCTAGGAAAAATGTTGGGTTTGCAGTTTCCCAGCTGCCCATAATAAATACCCACTGACCCTCAGCCTTTTTTCGCCGACTGCTGGTATCCGTATGGCTATTATTCAATGTTGATAACGACTTGAAATATTGAAATATCTCCCGGAATACAGGTTTTGCCGGTCCACACACCGCAGCACTGTTGACTGCAGCAGCAGGGGTAAAACGTCCCTGGCCCGTACCCCTTTCACTTGCAGCGGTAAGACATTAATCTGTTAAATTGTGAAATAAATCTGCTTGTAGTGTCATTTACTGTTGAAAACTCATTGGCATCACCAAGATGTCCACACTAAAATACACACTATTCACATTTATGACCTTTGCTCAGGCGAGAGATATCTGCAGGAGACAGCAGAGGCCGCTTGTCATCATCTTTGGGATGACAGACACTGCAGCTGGAACAAGGTTAGTTCAAATTATTACCTCCCCGCGGGAAAATTATACTATCGTGCGAACCATTTCTGTCAGCAGCTGTTTCTCGCGATCGGCTGGACAGATCTGTCTGGGGTTCGGTGTACGTATTGCTGCAGATGATGCAGAACATTTTTGTTTAATTGCATATGTGTTTATGGGCGTCGAAATAAAAGGTGTTTAAGTGCTCCAGACACCCCCGCCGTGCTGAAAATGATAATTTCCCTGTTGTTAAGGATTGGGGCGAGTGCACTTTTGGGTCTAACCATTCAAAAATGGGTCAAACAGGAGGGGTGTCTGGTTCCGATATGAATTTTGTTTCCGATCTACCGTAGGCGCCGGAAGGGGGTCAGTGATTCATGTTTAAATGTAGACGCTAGGCTCTATTTGGCAAAGTCTGTAGCAGTAAGTGACGATGATAGTTATTTTAGATCAGTGATTCATGTTTAAAATGGTAGAGAACTGATTTTTTTATTTGGCACAGTATTTCGGGTCATTATTGTTAACGTTGTTTGATTGTTGCACAATGTATCAATTTTGGTTGCCATTTTGTGTTTTACCGATCGTTCTTGTGGTCGGCTATTATATGACGGCGCGGGATGTCGGCGCGGGAAAGGTGGCGCGTGATGGCGGCGCGTGTTTATGCGTGTTTGTGTGACGGTGACGGTGCTACACACAAAGAAATAACCTAAACCAATAGAATAAAAAAAAACAGGATGTTTGAAATCTGTGATTACTTGTTTTCCACACTAAAATACACACTATTCACATTTATGACCTTTGCTCAGGCGAGAGATATCTGCAGGAGACAGCAGAGGCCGCTTGTCATCATCTTTGGGATGACAGACACTGCAGCTGGAACAAGGTTAGTTCAAATTATTACCTCCCCGCAGAAAATTATACTATCGTGCGAACCATTTCTGTCAGCAGCTGTTTCTCGTGATCGGCTGGACAGATCTGTCTGGGGTTCGGTGTACGTATTGCTGCAGATGATGCAGAACATTTTTGTTTAATTGCATATGTGTTTATGGGCGTCGAAATAAAAGGTGTTTAAGTGCTCCAGACACCCCCGCCGTGCTGAAAATGGTTATTTCCCTGTTGTTAAGGATTGGGGCGAGTGCACTTTTGGGTCTAACCATTCAAAAATGGGTCAAACAGAGGGGTGTCTGGTTCCGATATGAATTTTGTTTCCGATCTACCGTAGGCGCCGGAAGGGGGTCAGTGATTCATGTTTAAATGTAGACGCTAGGCTCTATTTGGCAAAGTCTGTAGCAGTAAGTGACGATGATAGTTAACGTTATTTTAGATCAGTGATTCATGTTTAAAATGGTAGAGAACTGATTTTTTTATTTGGCACAGTATTTCGGGTCATTATTGTTAACGTTGTTTGATTGTTGCACAATGTATCAATTTTGGTTGCCATTTTGTGTTTTACCGATCGTTCTTGTGGTCGGCTATTATATGACGGCGCGGGAAAGGTGGCGCGTGATGGCGGCGCGTGTTTATGCGTGTTTGTGTGACAGTGACGGTGCTACACACAAAGAAATAACCTAAACCAATAGAATAAAAAAAAACAGGATGTTTGAAATCTGTGATTACTTGTTTTGCAGTCTAAAATTAGATGAAGGTATCAAAGGTTAATATGTGGAATCAAGCCAAGGAATTGTGCATTTCTGCTTATCATTGTAATTTTTTGCAGTCTTGAGAGGTACACCAGGGACGAGGGGTTCTTGAACCTAGTGAGTCATACGGCAGCAGGCACAGGGAGTCCTGCGCTCCATATACACCTGCTGCCAGGATCAGAAGAGGGCAAAGAGTGTGAGTATTGTGTTACCATGTGCGTAAATATAATTCCTCTGTTCATGTTCTGATTTACATTGTGTCATAATTGTATTAAAAGCTAACTATTAACCACTTGGGTTCTCATTCATACTGTAATAATTGGCTTGACTTAACCAATTTTGTGCAGTGCACTATTGACCCCACTTCCAAGAAATATAGGAAAATTTGTTTTTCTGGTAGAGTGTATTTGCGGTTTGAAAAGGGTCTGAATGGATTGTGATGATATTTTATAAGGTTTATATAATATATATAATATATAATATATAATCTTTTTTTTCTTCAAATATCTGAACATTTTCCCACCTATGTGTCTATTGGCACCAAATGTTTGAGTTAGATACGATACAAAACAAGGACCTAGTGCTGTAATTCTCTGTCATGTTTATGGTAGCCCAAAATATTCTTCATGTTTTTTTCTCTCCAGTCATGGGGAGATATGGCATCACAGAAGCCGAAATGCCAGCACTGGTGGCAATAGCTGACTGGAACTTGCCAGAGTCACCAGTCATAATGAAAAGCAGAGATAATGGTGGGTGATCATTTTCCTGACTCAGATCTTTTTCATTGTCTTCTCGGTTATGGTGTCATTCATGTATTTTTCTCTGAGTAGAAGACTAAATTTTACCTGGCCTGTAGTAGTTAACAGCTGCATAGATGTGCGTTTATAGCATTGAGAAATTATTTTTTAGCTGGGCCAACTGGCCTCAAATATTCTATACCAGAGGTTGAAGCTTGTTTGTAACTGAAAACTAGCTGGTAAATGGTAGCTGTGCACTTAGGGCTAGGTCAGAGGTGCACAGCTAGACCTGAGTTTTCAATGTAGCTGACAGGAAGAAGCTAATGCACCATATTGTTGTTTGCAAAAGCTAATGTACAGCATATTGTTGTTCTTTGCATAACAGGAGAGATGCAGGAGCACATAGACCTTACTGCATTTGTGGCTGGACCTGCCCCCGTGGACGGACCTGCCCCCGTGGACGGACCTGCCCCCGTGGACGGACCTGCCCCTGTGGACGGACCTGCCCCCGTGGACGGACCTGCCTCCGTGGACGGACCTGCCCCTGTGGGTGCGCCCGTTCCCGTGGGTGCGTCTGTTCCCATGGGTGTGCCTGTTCCCGTGGGTGCGCCCGTCCCCGTGGGTGCGCCTGTTCCCGTGGGTGCGCCTGTTCCCGTGGGTGCGCCTGTTCCTGTGAGTGCGCCCTTTCACTTGACCCGACCGATGCTGGGACAGGTGCAGGCACAGTTGCGGGCACAGGCACTTGGGAGATTGTGGATGCATGCACAGGCACAGCTGAGGATGCCGAGGATGCCTGGGCACAGAGTGTGGTCGCATCCATACAGGAGAGCAGCAAACAGCTTCCCTTCACACATGTCACATCACACTTATGTAGCGCGCCCTAGGGGACCACCACAGTGAAAGGTTGTATTGAGGAAAACTAAGTGCAGTAGTATGAAGGAGTTACACAGTTAAGCAGGGGAGCTGTGGGAACACTGACTGCAGAAAAGTTTGATAGGGTACTGAAATACAAGAAACATGTGTAAACATGATGATATAATATTTTCATTGTAAACTTGTTAACAAAATAGATGAAAACATGTTTATTCAGCTTGCTTGTAACACCTAGAATAAAGGCTGGTGGCGGTTTACTTACCTTTTATCATTTTTTTTTAATTTCAAAGAGTAGTATCATAGAAAATGAAGACTTCAACGACAGTGGGTGTGCCTATAGCTATGTCTTACTCTACCATGATTGTAGATGCAACATTCACGTCTGAACTATAACATGAGAAAGTCATAAGAACCCATATGTCCAAAAGAAATGTAAATGTCAGATTGCAATCATATATACATGTACAGAGAGATGGGTGTCAAGTGAAAAGTTGAACCAGACACATAAGCCTGTAATCACCCTGTGGTCCTCAGGAGCACATTTTTGCCACACTCAGCATAATAAAACTCTCATTAGATAAATTCAACTTCTCGTGGTCCGGTGTCTTTATACGGGCACTTAACTGGTAATTCTGGGTCATTATACGATCTAATTAGACCAAATTCTATACGATATGTTTTTCAATGGAAGGTTTGTCTTGTTGCATTGGGAATATAAACTTTTCAACGGTGCTGTTTGAAGGAGGCAAAAGTTTTGTACAAACCTACCCCGGTATCCAGTAATAGGTTTTGTATGAACCTATACAGTTCATTTCTCTCTTAACTACAAAGTGATATCCGTCCTCTATACAATTCAATATTTAAGTTACATAATCTTTCCAGAAAGGCGGTACTAAAAGTAAAAGTGAAGTAACATGAAACTCACCCTACAAATATAAGAAATATTAAAGAGGAAGAGATAGATCATATTAACTACTCATGTGTCCAATCTGACTAACTAGTTGATTAATGGCCAATACACATCCCATTTTCGAAGGTGGTAATGAGTCCCTCCCCCCTATAGAGTTAATCCCCGCCCAACCTGGCCGTAAGCTCCGACCGTGTTTTAAGGCTCGACCGTGTTTTAAGGCTCGACCGTGTTTTAAAGCTCCGACCGTGTTTTAAGGCTCGACCGTGTTTTAAAGCTCCGACCGTGTTTTAAGGCTCGACCGTGTTTTAAGGCTCGACCGTGTTCCGCCGATCGATCGATCGACGGATGGCGTCGTCGGGTCGTCGTACCGACTGTGGCAACGGCGGGCTGTCGGTCCCGTAATTCGCCACCGACAACGTACCGATAACATACTTTGATGTCGGACTGAAAAATCAATCCTTAGGCCGTCAACTTGACTTTAGCCGAATTTACTTCCTGTGGCCTAAGTAGTTTTAGCAGTAACAGTAGCGTTGCCCAGGGACACTTAGCGTAAATCCAATCTTCAAGTTGCTGTGCAGAAGCCGATAAGGTCTCCTTCACGATCGTTATGTGATAATTATATTAATGAAGAAGCTGTTACATGTTGCTCCAGGCCTTCTGACATTTAAAACCAGTGCGTGTTAGATGCAATCAAGTCGTAATATTTTTTACATATTCTTGTTATCTATAATTAGGATACATTTTCATTTACAAAGCTGTGGTGTTCCTTTTTTGCCATCTCTCTGGCCTCATTCCCAACAGGATAAAATTGCCCGGATTGAACCGAATTGATTCGGTTTAAACCGGCTTCGATCCTGCTTCGAGCCGGATCAAAGCGAATCTGTTCGGCTCGATCCGGACAATTTTATCAAGTAGGAATGAGGCCTCTGAAATGACGACACTTAAAGTGATGGAAAATCCTAATTCTATCCCAAAGTACAAGGATGAAAACTACCAAGAACATCAGATTTTGTTAATGTCTCGTTACCCGTGTTAGACTGGCCTAAGGCCACACCGATTTAATTTTATGAAAGACATCCTCTGAAGACCCCCAAACTAGTGCGCGCGGGCGAATAAAAAAAATTCCGGCCAAAAATAACAATGCTACTAAACCACAGGAATACAAAGCTGGTATTGTGAATTCGCGACAGTACTTAGCAACGTATACGACAAGCCGGCACATGCTGGTTTTTTGCGGCATTTATGAATCGGTACTGTACTGAAGTACTGAGATCTTGAGTCGTGGACTTTCGAATTCGATAGCCTGGGTGCCCGGCTCCGTTTTGTCGCTGACTACCATGGACTACCCAGGCCTAGAGCCAGGACAGAGCCTCGATGGAGGTGATTTTTTTTTAGGGCGACAGGCAAAAATCAATGCGCGCGCGGATGTCATCCATAAAATTAAGTCAGTGTAGCCTAATACTTCAAAAGCGGTACTATTAACATGTTGACGAGTGTGAACAAAAGCATGCACGGAAGGATACAAATAAGTTACAGCACGCTCATAGCATAATCTAATTCATTACGCATTACCCAAGTTCGCAACCGTGTCCCTCGTGGGATTAATTATCAATGGTGGAAATATTTCGTTTCAATTAAATACAAGCCACAAGGGAACGGGTACAATACCCTATTATGTATTCTAGCACAATTGGATCCTACACTATATCAGCGTATTGGGAGAGCGCCGACGCGCAATAATTTTTACACGGGCTACTACAGGTTTGACATCTTGACGTACATTCAAAAAAGAAATGTTCAATATATTCAACAGAATCACAGACAGCACACCTATAATAATTGCTTGACCCTTATTGGATATATATTGTGTAAAATCTTCCATTGTAATGACCGCAATTTTGTCTAAATTTAGAGTTGATTGAATGCTTCGAGAAGCGAAAACAAAGAATATTGTAATGTAGCGTGCCTCATTTGTCTTGTTTGAAATACCCGCCCATAAACATCAGCCTCCAAAGGTCATGTTGTTTGATAGTGAAGTCGCAAGGTGGCATTTCACTCACGTGAGCTGATCTTGTTCTCCATACCTAAACTCTATATCCCCTTGATTCATGTTCAATGTGTGAATATCTGATCTTTTAACAGCCCATCCCAAATTTGACGTGCGTCAAATCAGAATGCTCTGTTAGTAGTGAAGTAGAGCTTACCATTAACCGTTAGCCCATCTAAACTTCTGGTAACATCATTTTATCACATTGATAATATGGTAGGATAATTCGTCTTCCACTGTCTCGGAAAAAGAAGTCGAACCCAATAAGTTGAAATTTAGTATTCAGTAGTTGGAGTAGTCACAATCATACTATATTGTTATCCATTGCCCATCCTTTATTTTCATGTTACATGTACTTGCAATTAGCCTACGGCAGGAACTTGCAATAAATTAAACCTTCCGTTTTCTAAACCTTCCGTAATCTATATACAGATATAAGAATTGTTCATGACTGTTGTGACATTTTCGGTTGCAGCAGTCAGGGAGCCTTGAACAACACAGATAAGCTCCTTGTGCAACGAAATACAGGTATCAGAGCAGCAACTATTAAATGCGTATTTGCACTAAACCATGTGCAAGTTGTGCTCATGATAGAAAAACAAGGAAGATAGAACAAGGCACTCATTGACTACACCCGTCTGAGACAGTTATACACTAGTGATCAGAACCCCTATACTTAAAACTACAGACATTGGAATGTTCAGAAATACTACCTATCAGAAACCGCACCGCCATTCTATACAGAGCAGTCAGTATATTTATAACATTTTACGCATTCCTATAACGCTAATAACTCGGTTATCAAATTTTGAAAGTGAGTAGAAATCTTTCTCATTGACTTGTTCGGCGGTGTAGGGTGTAATCTTCAAAAACGTTGTGTGTTATCTGGCCCTCTAATAAGGTAAACAGGTATAGCTGACCTCTTATTGTGTGATAAATGTGTAGCTGTCACCTGGCCATTTAGCGGGCCCACAGACTACGTCACAGTTGCGTGACTCCGAAGTTAAAATGCAGCAAAGCTCTAAATGCCATACCCACGTCATTAGTTAAGCCAGGGTGTCTTTTACAGTCAAAACAACTGACACGTGGACTGCTATCAAGAAAAAAAGCTATGTTTATGCTGGATAAATCTGCTGAGAGAAAGATCTAGCCCGTCTGTGAGGCAAGATCTAGAAAACCATCCACGTAACCTTTTCGGGAGACAAAAAGTTGACGGACAAGTCAGTGTTTAGTGATGTATATGATGAGTGAGTTAACAAAGGTCATTGAATGGGATAATGACTGAGAGTAGTCTTAAAACCACAGGTTTCACCCTGTGTGTTGAAGTAAAATCTGACAGGGCATTCAGAGAACGTACCGAACACGGTTAATCATTGGGTAAAGCCAGCCCGTACAATGCTCCACATCCTGTCGGAACGCCTTGCTGACGTGGGGGCCTGAGTTTTACATTTTTGTCCCCTTTATTCAAAGCTTAGTCACCACGAGTCTGAATTACACGAAGGCAGAATTTGCCAACGGTGTATGCATCATGTAAACGTGGTTTGTTGATTCGTTGCTGTAGAAAAAAACATCATAATATTGCATGAAAGCCCCGTCAGTACACCACCCAGATTATGCACACTTTGATGAAAAATTGGTCATCTTAGAAGAACTACGGCACCTGAGAAAAAGTTATGGGTTTGGAGGTCGTGAGGTTAAGGTTCTAAGGTTCGTTTGGAAGGTATAGAAAGACCCGAAGGCCGATGTGTGTGGTGTACGTGCAGCGCTGAGCATCAACTATGCAATTCTTCAAATAATATTGGGAAGGGGAGGGGATGGGTATAACACTATGCCATGGTGTCGATCTTGGCATATTTGTAGGAACAACAATTATATCAAGATGGAGTGTACGTCAACGGCAAGTTATGTTTGTATTTTTACAATTAAACCACAATTACAGAGTCAAATCTGCATTCGTAATATAAACCTTCCAGACACGTCTCTAGGACGAAACCTTTGTGCAAAAGTGCCATAATAACCTAAGGACATTTTGATACTGTTCCGCTTGATCAAGCCAATCTTTTCACAATAAACACAAATGAATTTATAGATGTCATTTCAAAGGGCGGAGAAATTCTAAAAGTAAAAAGTCATCATTGACTCATCATATAGAGAGTAGATGGGACAAAATGGAAAAAGCTTTGATACATCTTCTCTTTATTTGTGATATACATGTTCCCTTACCATTCTGTTCTGAAAAGTTTCCTCACCTGCGGCATTAGCCACCACTCTTACAGCCTTGAAAATCTTAATTTGTGTATTTGGATTCAGTGACCCATGTAAGTTCTGCTGCTTTCTCAATAGAGTGGTTTCTTTCGCAACTGTTTGGCACACATGCAGTGTACCCGGGACAATACGCTTGGAAAAAATGAGGTGGGGGCAGGGTTGGACAAGTTTTCAAAAATCCACTTGCCTTATCGGGCAAGTACATGGTCATTTCCACTTACCCGAACCAACTTTTTACTTCCCCAAAATATGACACATTTCTATGCATTTTACTAGCAGAAAGAGTTTATAATGTTGGGTGCTTTATTTATCAAAATTGTTTAAAACTTGGTTGAAATACTG